TGCATTTAAGATGAAGAATTGACATAAAAAGCAAGTTAATATAACAGATTGTTAGTAGCTCCTATTCATATTTAAGATGTCTGGGATATTAGCAGTTCCACCAATAGCACTGGTATCATTTTAATAACTGTTTAAATTAAGCAGCATTTGGCAAAAAAAGAACAGAGAAAAGTAAAAACCATACCTGTAGATTGTGAAACACTGGCCTAAACTGCCTAGCTGTATATAAAGTAGTAAATTGCTCCAGAAGTTATAGTCTAGTTTACTGTTGCTCTGTAAATGTTGACAGGTTCAGTCTATAGTTTGGTCCTTTGCTGAGGGCGGCAGCATGTTGGCAATCTCTCATGACACCAGTAGATGGGGTTCTACATTAGTACATGGACCAGCAGAGTAAATAGGGCAGCACAGGACAATAAGTAGCCTATAAAAAGGTAGAAATTTTGCAGGGTTTTCTTCTACATAAGCTGAGGTTACTTAACAGGCAGCTGAGCATAACGGCAAAATTGCAATTGCACATAGTATACTGACCGTTTGGGCGCCAAACAAGACATGCAATTGTTCTTTCCAACAGGTGAAATTTTAAGACTTTAAAATCAGGAGAGCCATTTCTCCTACTTGGTCTATGTTTGCATCATTCTCAAGGCTGGAAATAAGAGGGATCACCCCTTTTTAAAATCATTTGTTATCCTGTCAAGGTCAAGTGCTACCAAGATTAAGAGTTGTTTTTCAGAGGAGGCAAAGCTATGCAGCAGCACAAGCAAAAGAAAGAGTTTCAAACAGACTGAATCATTTTCAGAAGAAGCAATGGGAATGCTATGTAAGAAACATTTATGTGAAGAAGAGGGTAAAGTATTATACAGAGTACTACATGCTGGATTTTAGTGCTCAGTATGGTTTAAGATATGAAGGTAAATGTATTCATGGTGCTGTAAGTTAGCTTATTAGACAGTCTAGAGGGGCATCATACAGAATCTCTAATTCATGTACGCTGATGTTATTTAATAGCTTCGTAACACTTCTAAAGCTGTAAGAATTTCCAAGCCATTGCTTTCACGCATCAGAATTTTTTCCCCACATGATGTGAACGCCATGTCAGGCCAGAGAGAGATCTACCAGGTATTTTGTGCCTACTACCAGTACCCTCCCACACATTGATGGATGCTGTTAAGCATTTGCCTACATTGTGACTAAGCATAATAATATGGCAGCATCATTTTCCACTTTGTGATTTGCTTTAGGCTTGGAATGGCTAAACACAGAGGGACCTCTGTCTTTAAACAAGGAGCTGGCTGGCAAAGTTGTGCTGCTGGACTTCTTCACTTACTGCTGCATCAACTGTATGCACATCCTGCCTGACCTGCACCAACTGGAGAAGAAACACTCTGTTGCAGGTATAGAGAATAGGAGTTGAGCTTGTAACGCAGCAGTCAAGATGAGTGTCTGGATCCTAAAGGGGTTGAGAGATTACATGTAGGTAGCCTAAAGAGTAGCACTTCTCTATATCACAATCCTAATAGTACTCCCCAGCTACCAAAATAATGCAGAAGAAAATGCCATAATCAAGGGTCTGTGAGTTGTGAGTTAAATTATGATAGTGAGAAATAATTTGATATTAATGTGCATGTTGTTCTACGGTGTTAGTTAGGTTTAGTCTAAGGCGTTTTGCAGAGGAAAGCTGCTGTAAAAAATTTTGCATGCTTATTTTTCTTCATGTAGGTGGGAAATTAAACTGTCAAGTGAGAAATCTGAGCAATTGTGAATTTCAAACACACTCCACATATCAGTGGAGGGCTTTTATTTCTGCTAGACCATGGCAGATTTAAATTGGCTTACGACACGTCTTGCAACTCATAGTAAAGGTTGCAGACTCAGTTTACAGTGACAGTAAATAAAGAAATTATTCCTGCCCAGTGATTGTTAAACCACAGCAAAAGTAAATGTGGGCTAATAAAAAAGTCAGCCTCTGGTAAGTTCCAATTCATTTGCTCTGCATGTCAAATGGGTAGAAAGTAGGTAAAACAAAATGCTAATATGTTTTGAATGAAGTGATATTCTAGCCATGCTAAATTATTAAAAGTTGCCAGATATGTCACTGTATCATGGGAGCATGTGCAAGTTCAGTGGAGCAGAGAAACTGTAGTACTCTAATTCTGTTCTAAGAGAATGAAGGCCCTTATCTCAGCTGTGGAGAGAGAGTGTCACTAAAAATATTTCCAAGCTGCAGTGTCAGTCAGCCACTTCATGTAAAGCATAAGCACATCCGACCAACTCTGGCATCCTGCTGGCTCTTCAGAGGATAATCTGAGGAAGTTGTGCAGTTTGAAATTCAGCTGTGAGCCACAGAACACCTACACTGTAGTGCCACCGAGCATTTACTGTACATGCCTTATTTTTGGCACTGCTGTGGGTGCATTCTGTTTGCTGTTCTGGTCAGTGAGGTGTGGGAGCCGCCCTGTCCAGGCGCTCCCACCATTCACCCCTCCTCACCCACCTATTGCCACTACAATAAGGTCAATTTGCTTTATTTTAGGCAGGTATGTGTTAAAGAATTAACAGCTAGACCTATAATCTAAATCTAAATAGATGTTAGAAAACCTTTTATAAACATTTACAGTATATATTATAGAATAGAAATCCCTTAATGAGTTATCAAGCTTAATGTCATGTGTTTCCTTCTTTTACCCAAGCCTCTCTGACAGCAGCTGCATCTGTGTGTCTCTGTGTGTGTGTGTGAGCTTTGTGTCTGGTTGACCGAGTAATTTAGAGAAAAGATGCTAGAGATATTTATGGCATTACTAGTAGACAAGAGTATGAAACATTTCTGTCTTTCATTTACTGTCACATTCATTTATGTAACAAACGGACAAATATTGTGATTTGTTGTCTCTCTACCTGTTAAATGTCTCCCTCAGACGGTCTGGTTGTTGTTGGTGTCCACTCGGCCAAATTCTCCAATGAAAAGGTAAGTGGTTTTCATAGCTTGTCGTCAATTTTACCTTCGGTTAGGCTGGTCTGGTTAGAGCATTCATGTGTATGAGAAGTATTTTAAAAATGGAAAAAGATGGAGGAATTTAATGTGTATGGGAACATTTCATCTATGATCGGACACAACTGTACCTTGTTTGTTGTGATAAAATGATGACACAATATGTTCTTGGTTTAGTGTGATTCTCACTTTAAATAAGAGCTTCCATTTCACAAAATGCGCTTAAGACAGAGGAACATGAATTCCTCAATTTCCAAATTCTTTCACAAAATGTGAGCTGTTAGTTGGCTGCATTTGAGGCTTAGATATTCATTCTTCATAAAGACTACTTTAATAATTGATCACTTAAATCAACAGAAAATGGAACTACAACCAGTTTGATAATTGTTTGTTTTAGTCACAGACCACACGCTGATTGCATCTTCTATGTTGTGCAGATTTAGTGCTTTTATTTATGAGTCAACATCTTTCAGTTTCAGTCAGGTAAAACAAATGCTTTGAAGATGCAAACTAGGCACTTGGAAATTATAGTTTCTAATACATTTTCACTATTTTCTCACATTTGGTGGAATGTTATGGATCTAATAAGCAAGAAAATTATTGTCAAATGAATTTAAATGGAAATGATTATTATTATTTTTTTTTAAATAAGTGAGACTATTTCTTACATTCAGCAACAGATTCACAACCCTGTCTCTCCCCAACCATTCAAAGGTCCTGGACAACATTCGCAGGGCTGTTCTCCGCTATAACATCTGCCACCCGGTGGTCAACGACAGCGAGGCGCAGCTGTGGCATGACCTGGAGGTGTCCTGCTGGCCCACGCTGGTCATCGTGGGACCACGTGGCAACCTGCTCTTCTCTCTGGTGGGTGAAGGGCATCGAGACAGGCTGATGCTTTATACTGACAGCGCCCTCCATTACTATGGGGAACAGGGCCTGCTGAAGACTCACACAGTGGGGATCAAACTGTACAGAGACTCCCTGCCACCCAGCATCCTGTCTTTTCCTGGGAAGGTGGCTATAGACAACAGCAAGAAAAGACTGGCCATAGCAGACACTGGGCATCACCGGATTCTGGTGGTATCCTCTGCTGGACACCTATTACATGTCATAGGGGGTAAGAAACTGGATGGTTGGCATTAAATCCTCATACTGCTATTTCATGTTTGTGAAATTATATGTGGTAATTTAAATGAGTTGTGGCTAAATATGTATATAAAGTATATTCTTGCTTTGTAATAATTATTTTTGTTCAAATTAAACATTTATTTAAACAATATTGATATTTTTAGTTTACTCACATGCCTCAACAATCCTCGGAGGAGCCACATGGCTGTCTGTGTTGTTCCTGCACCAGCAGAGAGGTTGGCAACAGCAGGGATTAATACATGCTGGGAACTGGCACTGACCTGAGCATGGACAAATAGATGCAAAAAAACACACAGGATTGGATTTATTTTTATAGGCTGACTTCAACATTTGAACAATGTTTGTTCTGTTTGGAAGGACTGACAGTGAGCTGCGGTTCAAAAGGTTATATCCTCCATTTAACACTACCTGATACAGCTCATGTTCTTGAGCAAAATTGTTACAGGCAGTATAAGCACATAAGGTTAAATAAATTATAGCCATAAATATAAACGTGTGCTCCAGATGTAAATGGACAAATATGTCTGTATGTGTACAAATACTATTTTTGTCTACTGAAAGTCTAGGCAGCAAAGATAAGACACATGAAGCCAGCTTTTTTTGTTAACTGAAAGTAATTTTTAAATGGAATATGAGGACAATTCAAACTTCTTTCTTAGTAATCTTTCAAAAAACTTAATTCATGAGGCAAGTACCATAGATTTTAAGTTTCTCACAAAATAAGCATTAAAACCTGGGTATGCTGAGTCTGAAGAAGCACAGATTTCCTTGAAAAGCTCTAATATGACGATGATGGAGCAGCTCTACTAGAAATGTAAAGGCAGCCAACTGATAGGTTGTACAAGTGTTTCAGCCCTTTTATCTTTATGCATTTATTATGATAACACACATGGAACCATAATGTTCATTTGGACTATCACTTCTCTCACAGGACCTGAAAGTGGGAGACAAGATGGGGACTTGTCTGAAGCTTCTTTTAACTCCCCTCAGGGTGTAGCCATTAAAGGGGACACCGTATACGTGGCCGACACGGAAAACCACCTGATCCGAAAGGTAGCGGCCCCCACTGCCTCTGTGGCATTTTTTAAATTCAACTTTAGTTCTAATATCTGTCTACAAATTTGTCGCTGTCTCTCTGTGTTGGTGTTAGATTGACTTGTTAGAGGGAAGAGTCAGCACCCTAGCTGGAGTAGGTGCTCAGGGCACAGACAAAGGAGGAGGCGCCATGGGACCTCAGCAGCCAATCAGCTCTCCTTGGGATGTGACTCTCGGCACTGCTGGTGAGTATTGTGGTTCATACTAGAAATCAAAGGGCAACGTTTACAACATTTTATTGTGTCTGCCCTCTGTGCCGGTCTGTGCACTCACTGCCTACCATACAGAGTCCCCTCTATTCTGCCGTGTGCATTGTTTCTGCATGCTGCTGTAAAATCAGTCATTCCTGAAACTGAGTCTCACTCCTCTTTGAGATTTCAGATTCCTCATTTTAGTTCCACTCAGAGCCCTTAAGATAGAAGAGTTGTGACACCGAGGGGCCAAAAACGGCAGCAGGTCATGTGACTCGTAGTTTCAAAGCGTTCCAAACAGCTGATTCAGATACATTGTGGAGAACACTATGATTTATCAGTAAATTACTACTTTTAATGATTTGAACAGCCTTACAAACTAATTCTGTAGATAGCTCAGCTAATTTAGCTAGTTAGTTAGGTACCTAATCTATTAAAGTGACAATATTTGAGAGAAACAGTCCAAAGGTTGTAAAACATGTCTTGACACATCACTAACTTAAAATGTCTAAGTGCTATTGATTTCAACTTCTTACTTTAGAAAATAGCAGCCAAGTCGGTGCAACTCCATGGCACTGCTCTTGATGTTGGTATTTGACATTCCCATGATGCACCATTACTGTAAAAACAAAAAAAACGGTTGTTATATAGTGAATGGAGATGTCGTCACTCTCCTTCTTAAGCCACTCTGGTTTCACTGAATCATGTTGAGAATAAAAATCAATATGAGGTGGAAACTATGCAAGTCATAAACTACTTTAAAGTTTCTGACAAGGTCTTTCATATTCTCACAAAGTAATCTAAGACCTCGGCTTCAAAATCAAAACTCTGTTCTTCGTAATGCTTTGCTTTTATTACTTTGTCTTGAGAATTCACGGTTCCTTTAACATTAATCTTTATATTTGCCCCACAATGGGTTTGTTTTTTAATCAAAGTAGAAAGCTTTTTAAACTCTAACTTTTGAATTCGTCTGACCTTTTATCTGTAACTGTTAGTACCATCAGGCCTTATTGTTGGTGAGTATGCAGATGGCAGCCATGCTAGCAGATCCCTTGAACAGTGTGTGAACCACAACACGGCTTTCAGGGGAGCTCGTCATACTAAAGGACAATTCTAACATTTATTAAAGCATGTGATTTAGCTTTATTTATCATTATTCCAATTTATAAGACTATGAATAATAAGAATAGATAAACGGATGACAAGTAACCGGTGTTGTGTGTATTTCATCAACACAGAGGTGGAGAGAGAGACAGAGTGAGACCAGCTCCTGTGTGAATATGTAGGCTGCACCTGAACGTTATGGTTCATACATTAATTACCTATTTTATTTTTGTTATACAAATGTGAGCAGGAAAACCAAATCGCATGTGCACGCCTCAAAGAGAGGACTGACTGTGACACTTAAAACTTAAGCTGCCTTGGTTGATTTTTGAGACAATGTACGATCTGTAGCCTAAATGGAAACTGGTGATTCATGTGCAGACTGTTTGGAAATGTTTGTTCTTTTTATGCTCTGTTTTAAAACTGACATGATCAAGAGAGTTTGTTTTGCTGGTCTTTGCGTTAAAGTGAAGTTTACTGCTCTGCTATGTTTTCGATAGTGATGGCAAGAATCACATGTACTGTATGTCAGTGTCTGAACTGAATCGCTGTTATGGACAACTCTTACATCAGTAATAGCCTAATTTTACACGTGATCCATTATGATAAGGATACAGCAAAATAACATACTGTATTGCCACACTCCAGTTAGGGCTGGTATCATTTATAACTGTACAAAGTTATGCTTTACCATCGCTTATGTTCTGGTCATTAAGAAGTTTGAATATTTTTCCAAACTTTATATTAATATGTTTGCATTCCTCACCATGCAAGCCCTCATTTAGTTAGTTTGAAAACGCAATTTAGCAAGTTAATGACTATTAAGAATTAACACTCATGAATTGGGGGGGAAATTTGAGCACACGTTGGACTGCCATGGTCATATTGTGGGCTTATTTCAAGCAGGCAAAAAGATGATGTGTACAGAGTTGTTTATTCTGTCTCGGGCGAGAACTGTACTAATCAGCAGTTTACTTTGGAAGTATGGCGATTCATTGATCACACTTATGTAAATGTAGTGTATTAAATAGAAACTTAGGTTATTAGTGAAGTTATTTGGCTTTTGCAGGTAATCTGTAAGCAAGAGGTAATCGGTCTTTGTCACGTTTCTACACAGGCTGATGGATGGCACAGCTTTAAACTGTCAACATGGTCTGAGGATGTGCTTTCAGACCTTTAACTCAAATAACACTGTCCATCCAAACACCCATTTCATATTGATGAATTATCTGCCATGGGTATGAATAATTAATTCAACCAAATCAAGAGGACCCTGCACCTTTTGAACTATAAAGTACTACAGCGACACTGATGCTGTGAGTCAGGTGCCGGAGTTGTCAGATGTTCCAGATGTGACCGAGCAGGGCCGAGTTCTGCGCCACATTAAAAATACAACTGAGGGTTGTGTGTCCATCATTATGACAGCGTTGTCTCTGAGTGCGTCTGAGGTGGCATATGGCCTTCACTTAAACCTGCATAGCTGGCATTTCTGACACTCACCCTTCACCAAACAATCAGATCTGTGCAGATATTTCATTGTAATTGAGTAAAAATAATGCATTAATTCAGTTTTGAGGTTTCTTTACTAAGTTACCAATATTAGTAACTTCTGGATGATACTGAGGCTGACTGTGCACAAAAAGCCAAAAGCAGTGACACAAATATCCTGGTTCTAAACTGTTCATGTGTGTATTTCATTTGCATGTGTAGGCAGTGTTTCTGATAATGTGCTGTGGATAGCCATGGCAGGCACCCACCAGATCTGGGCTTTGTTCCTAGCAGATGGGAAACTGGCTAAAGGAAGGTGAGAGACTAGTACATGACAACTGTGGCCACTTGGCAACAACAACCCTTTAAAATCACTAATAACACTCCTGTGAGAATCAAAGCAAAGTAAAACCCCCTGCCTACCTCACATTGTCTTCCATTTCACAACATAAACAGCGAGTATAAGGCGGGGGCGTGTGTGCGATGGGCAGGCAGCGGCAGCGAGGAGAACAGAAACAACGCCTATCCCCACAAGGCAGGCTTTGCTCAGCCTTCAGGCCTGGCTTTAGCCCCAGAGGAGCCCTGGAGCTGCCTGTACGTGGCCGATAGCGAAAGCAGCACCATCCGCACTCTGGCGCTGAAGGATGGAGCTGTCAAGCTGCTGGTCGGAGGAGAGAGAGACCCACTGGTGGGGGTGCAATTAGCCGATGCAGATGAATTTGTTACCAGATGGATAATTTAAACATTATTTTCCTACTTTTTCCCCTTTTATGTTATTGTTGATTAGCTGTTATAGTAATTTGTCTGCTTGTTGTGTTGGTCTGAGAACAATTTATAGCACTAAACATTTTTTGGCTTGATCTTTTTGTCAGTTTAAAAATGAAAAAGTCTTTTTAAAACGATTCCTTCCACATAATTAGAAAATGTTCCCCTTTGTAATATTTTACCATTTATCATCTTGGTCTTCAAAACGTTTTGAAAACATCTGAAGAATAACTCAGCTGTTTATGGCACGGCAACTAATGCGTTTTAAAGATATTGTCATCTTTATGGTGTTTCTTACAAATGTGATACAATAATTAACTGTTGTGCTTTTTGTATTATTCAGAATGTTTTTATTTAATGCATTCTTCTAATATGAAAGTTTAGTGAGTTAAAAAGGTTTCAGTTTGGAAGATGGAATTATCGTGATGGTTTAAGACTCCCTTTGTTTCTTACCAGAATCAACATGTTAGGTATTCTGTTCTATGACTTATGTTAAGATTAAACAGAGGGGTCACAAGTTGCTGTTTGAGCAGTGATGTGATTCTCTATCGACATGTAATCCCTTCTGGGCATTTTATCTTCTTTCAATCAGAACCTCTTTGCTTTCGGGGATGTAGATGGGAAAGGGGTGGCTGCCAAGCTGCAGCATCCTCTCGGTGTCGCCTGGGCTCCCGAACAAAGCCTGCTCTATGTGGCCGACTCCTACAACCACAAGGTAGCTGTCGGTTGAATGGCTCCACAAAGCTAGTTTCTTCCATGCAGGCAACACACAGGACGTTTTTAATAAGACTGTTTTTGTGTTTTTGCTTGATTACATCTCTGTGATTGTGTTCAGATCAAGGTAGTGGATCCAAAGACAAAGCAGTGTAGCACACTAGCAGGGACCGGAGAGGCAGGAGATACTCTGGGCCCAGAATTTAGCAAATCCTGCTTCAGTGAACCTGGAGGAATCTGTGTCAGCGATGGCGGGAAGCTTCTTTACGTGGCTGATACCAACAACCACCAGGTCAAAGTGCTCGACCTCGCCTCCAAGACTGTCTCACTGGTTAGACCCATGTCTGTTTGTACTGTTTGTGCTTCAGCAAGTATTTCACATTTTGTCCATGTGTACATAATTAATCTATCTTGAATCTCTACCCAAATCTCTTACCTGTTCAGTTCCTCATTTCTACGGACTGCACGGATTTGGTACCGACAAAGCCTTCGGGTCCTGCCAAAGCCCCTGTGCTGCCTAAATCAGCTGCCAGGAAAGAGATGCCTCCGGTAGCAGTGTCTGTAGGCCAGACTCTCATCATGTCGCTCACCCTGTCTCTTCCAGAAGGGACCAGACTCACTAAAGAGGCCCCCAGCTGCTGGGCGCTCTCAGCTGAGGGTGAGACAAAGTTGAATCTTTATTAAAATGGCATGCATGTTAATGTTTTATTCAGACTGAGCCTTTAAGTACATTTGACCTCACCCCCATGAAAGGCATGTTGACCGTTCGCTAAGCCTCGCTCTGTTACCGCTGCACCTCAGGCTTTTCATGACAGTGGTGGCACATTTAACATTTGTAATTTTTTGAACAATGGCATCTCAATTTTGCCAGCTGAAAAGACAAGTGTCCTAGTATAATCTGTTGTAGTGAGTTTAGATAAAAATCATAAGCTCCATTATTTAGTTAAACTAGTAGCTGACTCATTTTGAAACAAAAAACCCTGGAATGATTTTGGTTATGTATATACATCACTGTTTTTGTATTGCAGTGCAAAGCTTAGCCCTAGTAAGCTCAGGGACGGAGGAATACACAGATCAGTCAGGGACTCTTTTAAAGCACCAGTGAGGTTATTCATGGCATGGCTGTTTTAATATATGATTCTTACAGCTAAATACTACTCAAAGGCTTTGTTCAGTTTTCTTCATATGTAGTCAAAAGTAGCCTGACCCAAGGATGAAGTGTGAAGTGAGTTGAGCTATCATGTTAGTGACGGCTGGTGTAGATCATTAGGTTTGAAACTAAAGTGTTTACATTGTTCAGAGCGATGCGACCTGCAATCAGCGATATCAGCAGGCTATTTTTAGAACGTTTCGATAAGGCAACATGCCTTGGTTCACATAATTAGCTACCACGCTATGTTACGTGATCCTCTGCTGAGCGATTAAACCCCGTCTAGACTTAATGCTGATCAGATCAGAGCAGAGGCAGGAATTTTAATGGCTCAAGTTAGAAGTGCACTCCAGCTCTAAATAGTTTTTTAGTGGCTTTTTAGAAATGGCTTCCCTGGGACCTCGTGTTAAACATCAGGTTCGTTGATCACAGCTGGAATGGATTTGACAGTCTCTCTGGCAATATTTTCTCACAGTCGAAACTCACTGACTTTCATTTGCCTTTTGGCGGTCGTGTCTTTTTAGAGGTGTGTTTGTTTCTAAAAATATCCCCCGTTTCAGGAGATTTGTGTCTTTGTCCTCACTTGATCTGATTCGGTGGGGTTATATGTGAGTAATATTTTAGAGCTCAATTTAGCAGCGCTGTGTAATCCTCAGACTCGAGGCAGTCTAGTACACAGGGATCACCTTGCCATGCTCAATCATAAATTCAGACGCCAGACTGACATTTTCATGCAGACATGTGCATTTTCAGAAATGATCTGGGTCCAAACTGAGGAGAGGGTTTTGTTTTTTTTTTAATGAATCACCTCCTTAGAAAAACATGAGCATGTATCTTTTTTTTTATCCAGGTTGTATTTGAAGTCAGCGTTAGGACACCAAAATTCTGTTTCTTGTTTCTTACAGGTAACGAGTGGCTGCTGGACAGGCAGGTGATTACTGGTGACATCCTGGACCTGTCGAAGCCACTCTCCGTCTCAGCCAAACTCCCAGCTGTTATAAAGGAGTCGAACAGCAACCCAAGCCTCATTCTGAGTGTGTGGGTGTATTACTGTATGGAAGCAGGTAAAGCTTGTATGATGAAAGCAGCCTCCTTCACTCAGCCTCTTCAAATAAGTGCCAGTCCTGGAGAGAAGGAGGTCACTGTGGCATTGGCTCATGCCTTCTGAAATCACTTCCATGTCTTAAGAACCACAGAATCCACATTTCTCTCCGAGCTGATCTAGCTCCATTCCTGTTCATAGTTCCGGAAAAACAAAACAAAAAAAACTCCAGATTGTTTCTGACAAAGCTCTCACTTTTGACAAAACGTATTTCTTACAAACCTGATTTTCCAGGGAATTTCATTTCAAACTACTAAGAAGCCCCTTCCACAAAACCTAATGCATCAGTGCTGTAATGTTCTTGACTGTGCGTGACATTTATTGACAGGAATGCAAATAGCTGCATCTCCAGTCATTTTATTAAGCCTGTACAGAAAACACAACCGCAGCCTGAAAATCTATTTCTGGGTATTAGCAACAAATTCCTGTAAGGACAGGCTGCACTGGCTAAGTGCAGGGAAACTGTGTGCATTCAGAGTTGTTGTCGTCGAGATGAAAAGGCTCATCTTAAAGATGCATTTACCCAGCCACTCTCACAAAATTAAATGTGCGCTGAAACCGAAAGCCTCTGTGGATATACTGAAAAACTACGAAATTATGTTTAATTAGCAGGTGGTGACGATGGTGTCAGTGATGGCTTTTGTTCACGAGTAATTACGTAGCAGGAATACATTTTTAAAAAATTAGACGTTTAATGGAGCTGATATGTGATTCAGAGTGGAGGGAAAAGATTTATTCTGCCTTGCTTTTGAATGCATCAAGTTTAGATAAATGTTAAAAATATTGAAATTCCGACAGGCTTCACTTGGGGATAATTAAGATAGGAATCTTAATATAGCAAACTTTTCCTTTAATCTCAGTCCAGGGAAAGAACGTGGAAAAGGACAGAAATGAAACTTTATGAGAGGTTTATGAGAAGTTATCTATGCAGAGACTCACATTCTTTTATTGTCATGAATATATTCAATGTGTCTAGTTCCAGATTATTAATTCAGATCTTCACTTTGTACTTCTCTGAATAATAAATGTCCATGTGTATGTGTGTGGTTGCTTTAGTTTACAGTCAGGCAGCTTGGGCGATAGCTTCGTGCAAACGAAACAAGCTTTCATAAACATTTGTCTACATACTGTACATGTCCTCACAGCCTGGGAAGCCTGTTAAAGGTTACGCTCAAAGCTTAAGGCTGTGTTCTGTGTATCCTCTCTCTGTATGACTGATTATAATCAAGTGCCTGTTTTCGACATGGAGAAGCAACCTCTTGTGAACCGATGACACCGACTGACTGCTGCCTGCTCTGCAGACTGTGGGATATTGTATTATGAAAGCAGAGGATTAAAATCTCTATCTTCATCTCTACTCCACATAATAATGTGACAGAGATGCTCTAATGATGAGAGACTGTAATGCGTTGTTGTGTGATGTAATATGAAAACACGGAGGTTATTATTGTTATTTTCCCTTATTGTTTTTCAAAGTTACGAGCTGTTGTCAGGAAGGAGCTTGGGAGTGTTTTGATTATCATCATGTCTCATAATGTAAACTGTTTGGCTCATTCGACCAAGTGCCTCAGAAAAGTCGGGTTACTGTATGAATGGTGCGAACAGATGACACTTTCACTGTATCAAGAGCAATAACAGTATATTTCTGTAATGGGAGAAATGTTTTGTTCGCACAAGTTATTTATTTCAAATGAACTGCAGAAGTTTTGCCAGTGTGTTTTCTCAGCTCTGTTATTCCTCTGGCATTTTTTTTTTTATGAATGGTAATGAGCTCGAGCGGCTGCTGGTGGGCATTAAGGTCCTGATATTGTTTTCAGTTTATTTCTTCTTACCGAATCTCCTTTTCACTTGGCATGTTTTTGGCTTGAAGGGTACCTTATTAATACCACCGCTTCTTAATGCTGCACTTTAAGATGTAACAGAGCAAGAGAAAACTAATAAAATATTTTTATCTCCTTGGTATGTGGACTGATTAGACCTGAAGCCCTTAACTGAGTGGCTAATTCCTTTTTTAATTTCTAGCAGTTGTGAATTACGTCACTTAGCATAACTGCAATTAATACATGCTGTACGCATGCTCTTCTACATGTGATAGTATTAAAAGGTTTGTAATGAGCTAGCTCCCTCATAAATATGTTAGAGTACCAAGTTATGTGTGAGCTGACGTCAGAGGAGAGACTTTGCAATTACAACATGCCTCTTGTTTGCCTCATTCTTTTCACCAGAAGCAGCACATTGTCCTGTATTGGAGTAAAGTTTTGCTAATAAAATGATATGCAAAAGCCTACTACGAGCAAATCTGCAGGTTTACAGGGAAGTGGAGAAAAGCATGTTTGCTCAATTTGTTAAGAGTAATATACCATGAAAAATGATCATGTGACACCTTTTTACTCAAAGAAATCATGTTACTGTTTCATGTTTTGAAGCATCATGAACTTTAAAGCTTGAAGGAGCTTTTGGCTTTGTTTTTTCCACCTTTAAGACACAAAATGAATTGAGTATAAAGGCACTGAGGAACATAGTGAGGATCAGACAGTTTTTAAATGAATGGTTATTAAACTTTTGCAGCACACACTATCACAATTTAAAAAGAGCTTGTTTCATATGTTTTGTGACTTACCACAACATAGTAGGATGTCAGACATCCACATACAACAATAAACATAAATTATATCATTAGGTTACATAAATGCCTTGAGACCCAGCAGAATGACCTAGAAAAGGTTTTAGGCCAGACCCATTGTAAATAACAGAATGAAACACTGTCAACTAAGAAAATTACTACAGAACATCAAACACTGACATTTCTTATCGGTACAGGTGTGAAATGTGTTATATTAGTCTCATCATTAAGGTGCTGAGAGTGTAAGGAGTCCCAAATTGTGCATTTGGAGTGTTGTGTAAGTCTGAACAAATCATGGAGAATGAATGTCTTAAAACACGAAAAAGGGTTGCATAAGTAGAAGATGCATGTGGAAATAAATGCAATAAGTCATAACAAAGAGAGAACGCAGGAGTAGAAGAAGAGCTATCCCTCCTCCCCCATCCTCCAACATTGCTCTCCCTCCTTGTGTATCTTTACATGCTGTCTTACCCCAGCATCCACCTCATCACTTCCCTCGCTCCCATCCTGACAGCATCATTAACCCTGTGTGATTCTGGCTGCTGTTTTCCCTGCCAGAGGCTATGTTGGCTCAAATATCATGGGCTACACTAGAAACATCACCAGGGAGGATGCTAACACACTTAGAGGAATTGAAATACTACTGGTTTCCACAGGTCAGGGGTGTCGTCTGGATCTTGGCGGATTTTCAATCTGAGTGTTCGCCTCCACGAACAAGCACAAAAAGGCCTTTTTAAGGTTTTCTCAAGGGCTTGTAACCTCTGTATCTGTTATGAGACTCATATGATGTATGAAGCTACCATTAGTTATTGTTACTGACCTCTCTAAATTAACATCATAAAATGTGTCTTAAAAATCATGTGAATGATTGAACTGGGGCTGGAGTTATGAAATGATGTTGGCTGGGTGTTTAGATAAATGTTAAAACCACATGGAGGTAGTGAAGTACAAAATCATCATTTTTACATGATTTTAATAGCAGAAATATTTATTCGCTGTTTGCCCTTCTGGCTAAGTGGATTCCATTAAGATCATATCATTGCAAAAGATAAAATATAATTACCATACTTCCAGTCTGTGTGGCAGTGTGGGGGGGAATGCTAACTCAAAAAGCAGGAACATGAGGCTTTATGATGAACAGAGCTGCTGAAGAGTTTCTGCCACGTCACCTGAACACATCATACCAGCCACGTATGCACTCTCTTCCGAGACCCTCCAATTTAGTGAACGGAAAATTAATGTTTCATTTAGCGTTTCGGTGCTGGCATATGTTTGTGGTCATGCTGCTACATCAAGTTGAACCTGTTCTCCGTTTTCTTTTTTGAAGTGCCAAACCTTCATGAAGATATGTAGGAGGTATCTGCTGTTCAGTGGTCAAGAGCACTCTGCTCAGCTTATTTTGGTGAAGCTAAGAGAGCAACCATGCAAAAATTTGGGAAGTTCAATTACAACAGAGAGGTACAAATGCTAAAAATGTAGCCTCTAAGAGACACAAGCACAGCTGAGAAACTGTGTCAAGGGTTTGAGGCCAATGTTGTTGAGATCATTTTTAAAAGCCAATTATACAAAATCCACTGTGCGTTAGTTTGTTAAACTGTGCAGTGCAACTGGTGTCAGGTAAACCTCAAATTTCCACAGATAAATAAAGGGGACATGGCTTGAGCGTTCTCAGTATTAGTTACCACCCCGGATGAAAGTTAGAAGAATTTTGTTACAAACGTTGGTAAGCTGTTAATAAATGGACTTTGGTCCAGCTCCTCTGCAGCCCTTTTCCATAGTCACCCAGCCCAGTCATTCAAAAGCAATTTTTCACATCCTGGTCTATTAAACATTAGTAAATGATTTATTATTAATAAAGCCAGCAGTAGAAACTTCTAAACCCTTTAACAGATTTAAAGTTTGCATAAGGGACAATGGTAATGGAAATGTGTTTATTATAAAGGTATTTAACATTTTACTCTTTGTACAAAGAACAGGAAGCAAATACAAAGCAAATGAATCTTTATTTAGCCACGAATTATGTCCATATGCATGTCCATATTAACAGCAAACAGCAGCAGTTTGACACTATTAGTGAGACACATGAAGCTGGTCTTTGGCTTTGACCAGCCTCTCAATGTCAGGCTGAAGCTGTGTAAACTGAGAGGGTGAGAACGTCCTGCAGGTGTAGATCAGTCAGAGTGCTTCTGAGCCTGGTTTTGTTAAGGTTCATTACACTGAAAGTCTGTTCACAAATGTAGGTGCTGCCAAACAGAGATAACATCACCTGTGCATGCTTCCTAATGTTTGGGTACCGTTCTGGTGAGACGTGTGTAGGAGTCCTTCGGTTTCAGTGACATGAATTTATTCCTCAGCTCTGAATCGCACTGAAACTCAATCAACTCCATCTGAATGTGATCAGGGACACAGTCCACACTTGTGCTGAAGGGTTGGGAAAACAGCTCCATGTCACCTGAATTCTTCCTGAAGTCCTGAAAGCGCATTTCAAACTCCAGGTCTAGGTTGCTGACAAGTGTTGCATATTCAGACAGTTTCTGTTGTACCAGGTTTACCTCTCTCAGACTGGGGAAGTGAGCCAGGTTTCCTGAAAAGAAGTAAAAAGTAATTAATAATTATCAATGCAATAAATATTGCAATTTTCACTCACTAGTAATGTCATATTCCACATATCATACAACTGACAGTTCTGTTGCTCCGCATCACATGATCACATTACCATTAAAATTATGTATTTTGTGCAAGGCATTAACTCACCTGCTGACAGATGTCGACACAGTAGCTTTCCTGGGCTGACGAGGGTCGTGTGAGCGGGTTTTGTTGTGAGCGAAGTTTAGCTAACAACTCACGGCTCTTTGTCTTCTGTGCCTCACCTTTGAGCCTTGAAAATGCTGCATGCCTTGTTTCATAGTCCCAGCGGATATTGTACTCTTTTAGCACAGCGACAGACTGACCGCAAATTAAGCAGACCGCCTTAGAATTAATATCCGTAAAAAAATATTCTTCCTCCCAGGTTCGTTTAAAATGCCTTTTGTCTGTGTGCCACTGTCTACTGCTCTCCATGTTGCTTGCTACTGCTCCGTTCTTCGTGTTGTTGTTGTTGTTCTTCTTCTTCTTTTTCTTCTTCTTCTTCTCCTTGTTTTATTGGCGGGTTGCGAGCTGAGCTGGGAGCTGCTTGACCTGACAACTGGGGTGGCATAATAAATTGTGGGGGGCCAAGAAATGTCCCCACGGGCCAAAACAAATGTTTGGGCACCCCTGCTCTAGAAGCTCGGTGAAGAGGCCTAATTTCACTGTCCTCATATCTCCACATGAAAGGCCAGCAGCATTTCAGCCTCAGTGTCTGCTTTGTTCAGTTTAATGACATTCTGATGGCGAGTGGTTCAAATCACCTCAAACTCTAAAATCCTCTCTTATCCTACAAGTAATAAATCATCACAGTTTGTTTCACATGTATTTGAGTGACCTGAAACTGACCTGGATTTGTTGTTGTAATGATGCTTATAGTTTAGTTGAGTCAAAACCCTGTTTTATTGTTGTCTGAACTTGTGACTTGAGATAAGAAGATTTCATTCCGTGGCCAGATCTGTGGGTGGGCCTGACCTCAGGGCCATGAGATGTATTCTCAGTGATAAATATAAAATGAACAAGTGGAAAAACAAATCTTGTTTTTAATGGTAGGTGATAAAAACAGGGAAATTTATGGTGCAGTTTATAACGTCATGGTGAATTGTTGACTTCTCTGTTTGGCTTCTCACGTTCCCAGAGCCTGGCGGATTATTCATAGACAACAGTCAATCACAGTTTCAGGTAGGCGGCTCCATGTTGTTCAGCAGCTTCCTGGCAAAAATATTACCTCCTCCTTCTTAATGAAAGCGTTGTCTATTCATTCATGCGCATCACCTTGAATGGAGCATGAATGGGAGATTATTTGTGAGGTTCAGATGTTGTTTGTTTGCTTCCTCAACTTCACTGCTGGAACCATTTGTCCGCTGAGCTGCGTGATTGGTCCGGACGAGCAATGATGTCAGTCCTGGCCGATGCAGCATCTCGCACAGGCTAAGGGCGAGTGGGGGGCTCCAGATGGAGTTGGCTGGCGACGGGAGTAGAGCTGTGGCTCGTGCTACCGCAACAAGCTGGAAAGGGTGTCCTGCACTGCCTTGATGAGCCCACCCTGGTCCCACACACAGCTCAGCAGCCCGTCATGGGGGACGGTGACTCGGTGAACTTCCAGAATGGCACGGGGAGCGAAACGTCGGAAACAACAGGACCCTCCACGGCCGCGTCCGAGCAGTGGATGGCGGGGATGAGCCTGGTGATGGCTTTGATCGTCCTGTCCATTGTGTTCGGGAATATCTTGGTCATTGTGGCTATAGCCAGGACGCAGAGGCTGCAGACGCTTACCAATGTGTTCATCGTGTCGTTGGCGAGCGCGGACCTCATCATGGGGCTGCTGGTGGTGCCGTTTGGCGCTGCGCTCGAGGTGCGCGGCTCTTGGTTGTATGGTTCCTTTTTCTGCGAGTTTTGGATCTCTGTGGATGTCCTATGTGTCACTGCCAGCATCGAGACCCTGTGCGTTATCGCCATAGACAGGTACGTGGCCATAACGTCGCCTTTCCGCTACCAAAGCCTGTTAACCAAGACTCGGGCCAAAGCGGTGGTGTGCTTAGTCTGGGCAATCTCTGCGCTGGTCTCTTTCCTGCCCATACTGATGCACTGGTCCCGGGACAGCGTGGACACAGCCTGCTACGAGGACCCTGAGTGTTGCGACTTTGTTACGAACAGGGCATATGCCATCTCCTCATCTATTATATCCTTTTACATTCCTCTACTGGTCATGATATTTGTTTACGCCCGCGTTTACAGAGAAGCGAAAAAGCAGCTGAGGAAAATAGATAAGTGCGAGGGCAGGTTTCACAACACCTTAACCGGACTGACCTCCAAGTGCAGGAAGAGGCCGTCTAAACTCCTGGCGCTTAGGGAGCAGAAGGCCCTCAAAACGCTGGGCATCATCATGGGGACGTTCACCCTGTGCTGGCTGCCCTTCTTTATAGTCAACGTAGTGCGGGTGTTTTGCACAGAGGTGGTGGACAAGGAACTTTTCGTGTTCCTAAACT